ACAAATAGATATCATCGTTGAGCTTGCATATGTCAGTGAAACACCCCTGGCTCCGCTCATGTAGATAAAAATCAACTGCGGTCTTAGCCCAAAGGGTGTTATCCAGAATTGTGTCCGGTAGTTGTTTCCTCTCCACTTCAGATACCGGTATGGTACTGGCCGGTAACTCATACGAGAGCGACCTTGTATCCATCATGTCCGGCACGTCAGAGGGTTTCTCAAGAATCCTACATATGACGCCATGTGAATCGGGCTCTTGAATGGTGGGAGAGACCTCTTCAACGATGACAGTGGCCTCTTGAACGGTGGGAGGGGACTCTCGAGGAATGATAGGGGCCTCTTCAACGATAGGAGTGGACTATTGAGGGATGACAGGCGAGTCGGGCTTCTTCTTGAGGTGTCTTCGCACTATTGGGGTATACGGAGACTTAATAGCACGTGTACGCCGTCTGATGCGTGAACTCTGTCGTGCAAGAAAAACCCGACGTAAAGCATCCATCTTATCGGTCCGCTAAATAATTAAATACAAATATCAGTAAATAAATAGACATGATATTTAAACAGTGAAAACAAAGACAAATATATTTCAAACTTTCAACCAAAAGACAAATACTAACTTCACAATGTTAAAGAATACACAGTTTAGCAGAATTGGCAGCAACCGAATAAATTTACTTCAACCAAAAGACAAAACAAAAAGACAAATACTAACTTCACAGTGTTAATAAACAGTTTAGCATTATTGGCAGCAACCGAATAAATTTACTAAGCAATCTAAGTGAAATGGTTAATTTAAGTGAAATTACGAGTAAATTTATCATCAAGTTAAATATGGAAAATCTTAAACTTACCTCGTTGCGTAGAGTATGAACCTCATTCTGCAACGATACTACCATCTCACGTAGAGCGGCAACCTCACCACGTAAAGTAGACACCTCCACACGCCATGCACCATCGTTATCGCATAGAGTACCAATCTCCTCACGCAAGGCATTGACCTCATCACGTAACTCCCTTGACTCATCCTGTGGAGGTGGAGAACAGGGAGATAGAAGTCGTGGCATCTTTGCCGGTCGCCTATCATGAGGTGATGGTGGAGAAGAGGCTCGATGATGTGACGGGATAGGTGATGGCTCTCGTTGTAGAGGTGTTTAGTCGGGTCGATCAGGTGATGGCTCTGGGTGAGGTGATGGCTCTCGAAGTGGAGGAAGTGGAGGCTGCTCATCATTCGTGCCATCAAGAAAACGCTGACTAGCTTGCCACCAATCAGTGGCAAGCTCAGCCTCCGTGGGTGTCAGTCTCATTAATGGAATGTTGGCCTCCTAAAAATATAAAAACTCAAACAAAGTTAAACGTCTACTATTAATAACTTGTTTATATATGATAGTATTTGTGTTAACTTACATTATTTATTGTCGCATATGGTATTAAGTCTTCCCAATCCAACAGACGTTTCCTCTTCCAGGAAATAGCCATGGGAATATCATTTGAAGTTTTTATTGCATATGTCTTCATGGCGGGAAAGGCCTCGAATATCCAAATCTACAAACAATATAATAACAAACATTAGTAATTGTTAAATAATTAATTATAATTTTGAAAACATTATATAGAAATTCTTACCTTAAAGGCCCAAACAAAGCCTGACAAAGTGGATTTCGACCCATCGCCCCGCAAACTTTTGCGGTCATCAAAGGCAGACGACAACTTAGTCCAGGTAGCTTTCCATATATACGAGCCCCACGGAAACAGATTCCATGCATTTAGGTCCTCTACCAATAATATTAGCTCCTGAGGAATAGGTTGTCTGGCCTCTCTGCCTAAAAAGCCGGCATACAAAAGTAGTAGAAGACATACTCGGACAACATCGACGTCATTCATCCGAGTAAAACCATCTTTCTTATTAAACAATTTCTTCATGTCGTCGACGTGTAAGTTCGGCTTCTCTATTGACTCATCAGGAAAAACCCTGGATAACCATGATGGGCGGGTGATATGACGAGTGTACCGGCCTACATCATCGTGTCCGAATCGTAGACCAGTGATTAAGCAGAACTCCTTCCGCCCAAAACAAGTATACGCCGGTGGAAAATGAAACCATATCTCTTCCTCACCACGTTGTATACTGTCGGGTAGATCGCTAGTCATGGTCTGAAGCCACAAATGGGTCAAATTAGCATCTCCACCCGGATGCTGTACTCTCAGCCATGGCCCGAAGCAGGTTTCCTCAAACAATTTTCTTTGTGCAGGTGAAAGCTTCGAAGCAATTGTAGTGGCTAGGCTAACTTTATTCCTTAATGTCAATGAAGCCGAAAAAAATTTCTACAAAAACAATAAACATACCAAGTTAGATATACCAAAAACTACACTGTCAAGATATACCAAAAACAATAAACATAAATAGTAGTTTATTCTTGAAACTAAAATTTGCAACACTGTTTTGTCTTTTGGTTGAAATGAAAATCGCAACGAGATAATGAGAATCGCAACGCGGAAATGACTATCGCAACGAGAGAATCGCAACGCGAAATGACTATCGCAACGAGAGAATCGCAACGCGAAATGAAAATCGCAATGCGATTTTGGTTTCGCGTTGCGATTATCTCGTTGCGATAGTTATTTCCGCGTTGCGATTTTCATTTTCGAAACTATTCTTCTTCTGCATTACTTCAACCAAAAGACAGAACAAAGACAAATACTAACTTCACAGGCTAAACAGTTTAGCAGTATTGGCAGCAATCGAATGAATTTAATAAGAAATCTAAGTGAAATGGTTAATCTATTATTGAAATTACCAGTAAACTTATCATCAATCTCAATATGAAAAATCTAAAATAATGCAAAAATTTCAAAAAAAAAAAAAAACTAACCCTCGGAGGTTGATTTTCCATTTCTGAATGATTGTGAGGGATTTTTGACTGTGAATGGTTGTGAGGGATTTCTCCGGTGATGGGGACAAAAATCTTCGGAGATGGGGACGGATTTCGCCGTAGAGAGTGAGAGATGGAGATGTGACTGAGTGTTGTGATTTTAGGTTTGAGGTTATGAGTTGCGATTACTATGGACGATTCAGTTTCCGATTTATTAAGAAAAAATTCGTGTTTGGAATTTGAAAAAAAAAATACGCGTTAATACGAATGGCGCTATGTAAATCGCATTGCGATTTACGTATTCGCATTGCGATTTTTCTAATTCGCATTACGATTTACTTAATCGCGTTGCGATTTACGTATTCGCATTGCGAATTATGAAAATCGCAACGCGAATACGTAAATCGCAATGCGAATTAGGAAAATTGCATTGCGATAGTCAGTATCGCATTGCGATTTTCCAAATTCGCATTGCGATTTACTTATTCACAATGCGAATTGGGAAAATCGCAACGCGAAATTGGAAAATCGTATTGCGATAGTCATAATCGCGTTGCGAATCTGGAAACTGATTTGCGATAATGGAGATCGCGTTGCGAATTAGCGATCGCATTGCGATTTTGTTGGTCATTTTGGTAAATCCGGAAAAAGTTGGTTAAAATCGTATATTATATGAGATTTTTGGTCACTGAGGTTATTTTCTCTTCTTTTAATTAGACAATTATATGTCAAAATCGTTTAGTTTAACTCTCAATTTTTACATTATAATTATTAATTTTAATATTAAAAATAAAAAATTTGAAAGTAAATAACTGTACAATATATATATATATATAGATTGGAAAATTATATTTAATTATTACAATATGTCATGTATTAGGCGATGAGTTAAAAACTTAAAATCTCAAATTCAACATGTAAGTATAGATATGTATGCGTTATTTGAAATTAATTTTTAGTGTTTACTATTAAACTTTTTTTCTTCTTAAAAATTAGTTTTGATTTTTTTCTTTGAAATTAATTATCATGATAGTCAAAGTATATTGTCACGGATATTTAACTTGATATCAATTATGATAAGAGTCAAATTAATTATTATACAATCATGAATTTTAAAAAGTATTTTTATCCAAAAGTTTAGATGGATATAATTAATGAAGAATTCAACTCGGTTCATAATTGAATTTCCCAAAAAAAATAAATCTATTTCGGAATTAATATTATTTCATAATTAATATTATTTAGTTATATTTGGGAAAAAGCCCTAATTTTTGCGGTATTAACAATATATTTTACAAACACTGTCTTCTAATTCCAAGTTTAAAAAAAAGGTTAAAAAGAAAAAGCGGAAACTAAAGAAGTTTGTAAATGGCGGCCAGTTTATTACAAAACACCCAATCTCGCTACTCATTGGACCATTCAAAAGTACACGGATCAAATCCAAATGATCTGTAACCGTTGATGAGTTTTCAATCTAACGATCATCCTGAGACAATTGATTATTCACTTGATAAAACTTTTTTTTATTAACTTGATAAGACTTTAAATATCTTTTAAAAAACAACTCTGATATTTAAACGATCGATTGTGTTATCAGTTTAATATATGATTAAATTATGAATATTTGAAAAATTATATTTGAATTGTAATAATTTGAATTTTTGAGTCAATGTATGAGGATTGATATAAGAGGAGCATTAACCGATAAAAAAGTATGATTAAATTTATTAAATAAAGTATGACATATTTAAAAGAGATTCAGACATTAATATAATTTCATGGCTAAATTAAAAATCAATATTTTTTGAATTATATTTGGGAAAAAAACCCTAATTTTTGCGGCATTAACAATATAGTTTACAAACACTGTCTTGTCTTCTAATTCCAAGTTTAAAAAAAAGGATAAAAAGAAAAAGCGGGAAACTGGGGTTTGTAAATGGCGGCCAGTTTATTTCAGAATACACAATCTCGCTCCTCATTGGATGATTCTAAAGCACACGGATCAACACCAAATGATCTATGACAGTTGATGAGTTTTCAATCTAACGGTTCTCGTTCCCCTCTCGTTCTATTCCACCTAAACCACAGCTATAAAATGCCCACGTCGCGTTATTTGCTCTATCTCGTTTTGTTTTAAATCTGAGAGTTTACATTTCTTAAAACGTAAGCGTTATTTATCTACATCTTTCTCAGGGTAATGGACGCCGGAGCAAAAGTAAAGAAAGGTGCCGGTGGAAGGAAAGGCGGCGGCCCAAAGAAGAAGCCAGTTTCAAGGTCCGTTAAAGCTGGGCTTCAATTCCCTGTCGGAAGGATCGGACGTTACTTGAAGAAGGGAAGGTATTCACAGCGTGTCGGAACCGGAGCTCCGGTATACCTCGCCGCCGTTCTCGAGTACTTAGCCGCCGAGGTAACTGAAGGCTAAATTAAGTCATCAAATGAGTCTTGTTATCGTTTGTAGTTCATAACTCAGGTTTGTAATTTTGAATCCAGGTTCTCGAGTTGGCTGGAAATGCAGCACGTGACAACAAGAAGAATAGGATCATCCCAAGGCACGTGCTACTCGCTGTGAGGAATGACGAAGAACTGGGAAAGCTTCTTTCTGGCGTTACCATCGCTCACGGTGGCGTTTTACCGAACATTAACCCCGTTCTTCTCCCAAAGAAGACTGAAAAGGCCGCCTCTAAGGAACCTAAATCTCCATCAAAGGCCACTAAATCTACGAAGAAAGCTTGATTTTTCTAAGGAACTTGTAATAATTTGGTTTTTTTTTATTCTTCGTTAGATTTAGATAGTCTTGGAGTGGATTTTGTGTGGAATGGTTAATGGGTGGGGGAAAAGACTGTCATGGAATATTTGGTATGTTTAAATTCACATTTGTTCCGTCTCAATTGAAATGAAACTACTTGTTTCCGTTATTTACATTTTTAATCATAATCTGTCAATTTGATGGGATAAAAATTAGTTTACCAATAAATATTAGAGCCGACTATAACGACGCCGTTTTGACCCTAAATCTATATTTCGTGCTTTAAGCATTAGATAATATGTTGTCAAGTAGAACGCGTTAAAAAATGGTGTTATCGGTTAAATAAATGATCGGTTAAAATTTAGACTGGTTATATTATATCATTTAATTAGAAATATTATCAAGTAAAATAACAAATTAAGTATTACTTATATAATGTAATAGATAGTGTTTATATAATAAAATAGGTTAATTATTGGAAATATTATCAAATATAATAACATATTGAGTAGTGTTTATATAATGTAATAGGTAGCGTTTATATAATAAAATAGGTTAATTACTGAAAACATTATCAAGTAAAATAATATATTAGGTAGTACTTATACAATGTAATAGGTAATGTTTATATTGACTTATTCTATCATAACACCGGTATATTTATACCGGTATCATTGCAAATTTATTTTAATAAAATATAATAATCATAATTTTTTATTTATAAAATTATATATATAGCATTTTAATAATAATATTGACATAGATAATATTAAATAAATTATTCTAATATTTTAAAAATAATAATATTATTTTGTTAATAAATAATATTATTTTATTGTGTTTGATGCTTATAGTTATATTGTATTTATGAATATTTTCCATCATTTCATTATGATTATTTTTTAAAATTATATTGTAATTATATATAATTTTTTTATTTTATTATTAGAAAGTTAATATCGAAATAGAAATATCGTGTCCTTTTTTCATTAGTTATATTGTGGCAACTTACAAACTAAAAAATTAAAATTAATTTGTATAATTTGTGTTTACTAATTTTATTATTAAAAAGTCTATTTTTACCGGTTTTGTTATTGTTGGGTATAACAAAATCCGTAAAAAATACCTAAAAATTATTATTTCTACCTAAAATATCAATGTTTTTTAACATTTTCAGTAAAACCGGTAAAAAAATAACAAAACGGGTAAAAAAAAAACAAAACCGGTAAAAAAATAACAAAACCGGTAGCGCTTTACATGATATATTGAAAGTATCGATCCTTTTATAAAAATGATATATACTTTACAATATAACAAGTAAAAAAATGACAAAACCAGTTTTATTATGACAAAACCGATAAAATTTACCTGATATGTTGAAAGTATAGATACTTTTTGTAAAAAGAATCGATACTTTTTTGAAAGTTATGTAATTTATGTTTCAAAATTTTTTAATAGTATTTCATGTTTTCCACCTATAATATTAATTTAATAATTTTATTTACACAAAAAAATTATTTGATTGTTTTGATAATTTATAAAATATTATTTAGAATTTAAATTTAACAATATTAACCAAAGATAATAATAAATATGTAATATATATGTTTATTGTTTTTAATTTAATAATAATATATACCGTAACATAAAAAATAAATCATTAGACGCGTATAATTACTAAATTGATATATCTTAAAACTCACTCAAAAGATAACCTTAAATTAATGTTTTCCACAGTGAAATAAGTATGAACACTTTTATAAAAAGGATAGATACTTTACAATGTAAGCGCTACCTATTACATCATATTTTTACTTATTATATTGTAAAGTATCGACCATTTTTATAAAAATGATCAATACTTTCAACATATCAGGTAACATTATAAAAAAATGTAAAATTTACCTGATATGTTAATTTACCTATTACATTATAATTATTGGTTTTGATGTTTTTTGGGTCGATACTTGTAGAAAATGTATTGACACATATTTAGGTAGTTATTGTACATACCTAAATATGTACTGCGAATTTAATGTTGTACCCACCCTTTAACTACCACTACCAATACCACATCCTATTGAAAGCAGCACGACTGAAACATGTTCAAAATGAACCTTTGCTTACATCTCCATCAACTCCGGGACCACTGAACTTGCACAACAAAATTTTTGCCATGGATCATACTGATGTAGACAATGTTAAGCCAACCGAGGAATGCCATGAAGTACATAATATTGATGAATCTGACAGATTGGTTGGTCAGCTCTTCTGTTCACGTGATCAAGCTTGGTACCTTTACAAGGGATTCGCACGGGAACATGGGTTTAGTGCACTTAAGGGAACAACACGGCTTGACGTGGAAGGGAACGTGAAGACACAAGAATTTTTTTGTTCCAAAGAAGGGTTTCGAGTATCAAAAGTCAATAATGTTGATCGTTATCGTGCTCATACGCCAGTCACAAGAACATGATGTAAGGCTAGAGTCTTAGTTACAGCAACAATTACAAACGATCAGTGGGTTATAAGTAAGTCTGATCAGAAACATAATCATGTATTGTACACACCTGTTATGACACCATTTATGCGTTCTAATAGAGCTGTAAGTAAGACTGATATCGATGAGGCAACAACATTGAAAGAGGTCGGTGTTGGCACGTCACAAGTAATGAACTATTTAACGCAGCAGGCAGGGGGCTATCATAATGTTGGATTTACACATAAAGACCTCTACAATGCACTTCAAAGAGGTAAAACAAAGGAAATCGTCGATGGGGATGTGAATTCGCTTATTGCCTACTTTGATTATAAGAAACATGATGATCCCGGGTTTTTTATGACATACTCGGTAGACGAATCAGGGGCATTGTATAATCTTATTTGGTCGGATTCTACATCAAGATCGGATTACACATGCTTCGGCGATGTAATTGCGTTCGACACAACGTACAAAGATAATTTGTATGGTCGACCAATTATGCATATTGTCGGTGTCAATCATCACCATAACACAATTGTGTTTGCCACTGTCATAATCGTTGACGAGACGTCTCAATCTTTCGAGTGGGTGCTACAGAAATTTTTAGAAGCCATGATGAATAAATTACCTATTTTAGTTCTCACCGATGGGGATAGGGCAATGCAGAGGGCTATCAAATCTGTTATCCCTTATGCTAAGCACAGATTATGTTCTTGGCATCTTTCTCGCAATGCACAAGCTAACATTGGTGACCCAAAGTTTACAACATCATTCTCAAAATTCATGGCTTCCTGGTGGACAACCAAGGAATTTGATATTCAATGGCGTTCGGTTGTTTCAGAATTCAACGTCCAAAAGCATCCATGAGTGATTGATAAGGGAAATACACGACACTTATGGGCACAAGCATATCTATTGGGTCATTTCTTTGCCAATATTCGCTCAACACAAAGGTGCGAGTCTATGAATGCTTCACTAGCGATTGCACTGAAACACAAGAAGACATATTTAGATGTTGTTCGTGCAATTGAAGATGGAATTAGTAGAATGCGTATGAACGAGTTGAAAGCGGATTACTTAAGTTCCCATACAAAGCCCTTCCAGATCACAAAACTGGTCGACCTTGAAAGCCATGCCGCTGCGATTTTTACCCGCGAATCTTTTCGTGCGTTCCAAGATGAACTTATACGGGAGACATTATACCGGATTGAGGCACAGATTAAGTCCTTATCAGATAAATGCCAACATTATATTTTGTCAAAGTACGCTGAAAAAAATAGGAAATTTGAAAGTAGTTTTGATTCTCGTACGAAAACTCTAATTTGCTCCTGCAAAAAATTCGAGACCGTTGGACTTCCGTATCGCCATCAACTTCACATTTTGAAGCACTTGGATTACACATATTTGCCCGTGACTTTGATTCAAAGTAGGTGGACTAATGATGCGAAGGCTTCTGCACCCAGTTATATTGACATGAATGTGTCTCCAGAAGTGATGTAAATGGCAAGGTTCGCTGCTCTACGTTCAACGTCAAGTAGGTTATGCTACATTGCATCAAAGACAGACGAGTCTTTTAAAACCGCAAGAGATGAGATGAAAAAACTAATAGAAGAATTAGAAAACTCGTTTGGCTTGAATGATTCAGTCAACCAGAGCATTTTAGTAAACAACGTTCGTGACCCTCAACGAAAACAACGCAAGCGAAAAGAAGTGCCGAAGAACAAGGTCGAGAAGAAAATTAGGCGATGTGGGTACTGCAACGGTGAGGGACATAACAAACTAACATGTCCTCAAGTCAAGCTCAGTTTGAGTACAAGCACACAACCTATATCAACTGATTTTTTCGAAGACAGAATGGAATGACAACGATCTCTATTTATCGTAAGTATCAACATGACTCCTATTGTGTATAAGAAACATGTACATATAAATATTGAATGAAGGAAGAAAAACCGCGTTACTTAAAAGTATGGACACAATATTAAAAAGTGTCGATATAGGTTGTAGACCTATTCTCTCATAAAACCGGTATATTTATACCGATTATATTACAAAATTACCTATTAAATTATAATTATGGGTTCCGATGTTTTTTCAATGACACTTTTTTCATCCATTCTGGACATAAAGTAGCGACACAATATTAAAATGTGTCGATATAGGTTGTAGATCTATTCTCTCATAAAATCGGTATATCTATACCGGTTATATTACAAAATTACCTATTACATTATAATTATGGGTTCCGATGTTTTTTTCAATCGACACTTTTTGAAAAGGTATCGACACTTTATGCTGATATTTTTTGGGGTATATTGAAAATTTACCCATTACAATATAATTATTGGTTTCGATGTTTTTGGGGTCGTTGATTTTTATATATTGATCGATACTTTATGGGAGACTTTAAGTTTGGATACATTATATAAAACGATTATAAATATACTGATATTTCTAAATATAAAAACTTTGTCGTGGATATCATGGAAAATAATTCTTTAATAATGTGTTTCGATACATTTGCAAGCAGATGTAAAATACATTAATAACTAGTATTGATATTTCAACAATCCTCAAATGTATATGTATACAGAGAAGCAAATATGGAATAATTAATGAAAATATACATACAATATAATCAAACCAAAAGATACATACACAACAATGTTCAAATAATGTACCGACAAACGAAATTAATCCGAT